TTTTTTTTTTTTTTTTCAACGTTTTTATTTATTTATGGGACAGACAGAGACAGAGCATGAACGGGGGAGGGGCAGAGAGAGAGGGAGACACAGAATCGGAAACAGGCTCCAGGCTCCGAGCCATCAGCCCAGAGCCTGACGCGGGGCTCGAACTCGTGGACCGCGAGATCGTGACCTGGCTGAAGTCGGACGCTTAACCGACTGCGCCACCCAGGCGCCCCAAACTTTTTACCTTTTGAATTTTGTTCCATGCATATACTTTTCCTACTAAAAAAAACTAATTTTTAAAATTCATATTCAATACCTAATCTTGGTCTTTTGGCTGGTATTTCATCAGTGTCCACTGTAGAAAACGAAGTGCTGAAAAGAAAAAGAGAAAAAAATATATATATTTACATATATACACACATATCCATTTCTGTAAGTAAACCTAATATGCATACAACACACCCCCTCCATCCACGTTGTCAAAAAATGAGACTCAACTGATGTTTGAAGAGAAAACACTCCTCTGTAGTAGGCCTTCACCATTTGAGGACTTAACACTCTTGTTTAAACTATTTGAAAGAGACCCAAAACTCTCTATCAAATGATAAAATGTAATCTGGCTAAAGTACAAACTTGAAATTGGCCAGAAATCATTTGGCTAGTAAATGAACATAGGTGACAGCCTAGGACTGGTATATCCTTTTTCTCTCCAGCAATGATTTTAAAACAACAAATAACTTCCTTTTGAAAGATGACATCTCCCCACCCTCACAAGAAAAGCCATCTTCTACTTTACTAGAAGCAGACAATATAAGAAGCCTTAAAATATAGTTCTTAGCCAGAAAAGGTGTTATATTTAACTGCATTTTTTAAAAAAATGTTTATTCATTTTGATAGAGCACGAGCGGGGGAAGGGCAGAGAGAGATGGAGACACAGAATCCAAAGCAGGCTCCAGGCTCTGAGCTGCCAGCACAGAGCCCGACATGGGGCTCGAACTCAAGAACTGTGAGATCATGACCTGAGCCGAAGTCAGATGCTTAACCGACTGAGCCACCCAGGTGCCCCTTTAACTGCATTTTTATCATGGAAACTATATTACAGTGGTAATAAAAAATTGGGGAATTCAGGAAAGTTTTTGGGCCTATATATACCTCAAGAATGTTAAAAGCTTACGGTATACTATAATCATCTTTCTAAAGATAATTATAATTGATCATTTTTACCAAAAAAAATTAACAGAATAAATCCCAGGAGAATACCATTTAGTTAATAACTTTGAACATCCCAGTAAGACCTTCTGGCTTCATTTTGACTGAAACATGGCTTACATTGTGAAGAATTGTTTTAGATAAAGGATGTGTGGTGAAGAACAGGGTTTTGATCTCCAAACCATTGTTTCACTCACTGGCAGGGATTCACAGCAGAAAGAAAGGACAAGGAGAGGAAATTAATATTCTCTTATTCAATAAATATGTACCAAGTACCTATCATGCACCAGCCTCAGCACAAGGCCGCTGAGGTAGAATAAACAAATACCACCCTTATAATATATTAAGCATCATTTAAGGCACTTTACAACATGCTCCCAAATGATCCTTTTATCAACCTCACAAAAAGGTAGAAAAGACTAAGTTGAAACCTTGGTTTCTCTAGAACACATGATGGAATGTAGCCAACAGCCTATTTCATCAATGATCTGCATTTTCAGACTCATGTATTAAATCATCCTGCTCTCTCAAGCTCCAAGAAACTATCCTTCAATAATCCTGGGCTTAATAAAAAAAATGAAATTAACACGGTCACTAAAAGTTGATGGGGGAGTAGAGAATTGGTATGGTCTTCTATTCTCTAGATTAATTCTCAAGCAAGGGGTACACACTATGAAATGAGACAAACCAAGGGGCAGATACTAAGTAAGAACAGTTTTAGTTTCCCCCAAATTTTTTTAAGCACAAACTAGTGATCTTTTTAAAGAAATGAGACACCTAATTTTCCCCCCTCATATACTAACTCTAAAGCACAGAACCATCCTCCCTCCCTCCCTCGCAAAACACACACACACACACAGTTTGACAGCTGTTTCAGAACAAAACAGCTGCTGTTCTTTGGTGCTCAGAGAACAATTCTTGTAGTCAAAACGGCTTTGGTCAAGCTATGAATCTCCCTTCCTTTAGCTGCACTTATTGCCTACATATGACACTTGGGAGTGTGCTGTGTAAACAGTGAACCACAACACAGACACTATTCCTTCAATTGTTACTTTTCAACTAACGAAAGAGTAGCAAGATACAATAAAACCCCATTTGACAGCAATCAGCTCGGACTCTGACAAGAACATCAAAGATCCTAACCATCACGGTGCACTCCAAAGACAACTAGCTCGTTCCATCAGCAGCAGCCGCATCGCACAGCGTGGAGGGAGCGACTACGTCACCAGGATACCCGCGACTCGCACCTCCACCGCCTTGGCCTGGCCAACTGTTTCGGCAGAGCAGGGCCTGCCTGGCTGGATCAGCGCTCTCGGGGCCGAGCCCCGGGGTGGGGGAGGGAGTACAGCCAGGCTGGCGCTCAGCCCCCTCTCCTCTCACCTGTTCGAGCGCCGCCTCTTCAGGAGGGCCCGGGCAGGGGGCACCGGCCGGTCACAGAAACGGAAAATGGTGCCGAGAATCCTAACCAGCCATTTGTACATACCAGGCCCAAGCAGCAGCGGCGGCCGACACACCCCGAGAAGCAAACCCCAGAGCTGTCGCCGCCGCTGCCGCCTTCGCCGCCTCGGCCACCACCGCCAAGGCTCAGTCGCCGACTTATGACGCGATTGGAGGGCCCACAGATAAAACGTCCTGAGGGCTATAGGAGGCCCCCGCCTGCCACCACTCCTGACGTCACCTCCTCCCGCCGGACCGGAAAGCATCTTCGTCCTCAATCTGCGCACGCGCAGCTTCACCCCGTACCACATCCCGAACCTAGCAACCAGAATGCGTGCGAAACAGTCTCGGTCCAATCGTTGGCGAGATCGAAAGGGCTGTGGGCGGGGCTTTCTGTTCGGCGTAGCCAGTCGCGAGACGGCCCGCCGGACAAGGCCCACAGGCCACAACAAGTGAGGCTTCCTCACCTGGGAGCCAGCGCTCCGGAGGCCTGAAATAATACTGTAGGTACTCAGTAAATGTTTGCTGAGGGCACAAAATAAAGGTAGGTCAGAACAAATGTTTACCCTGCTAAGTGCCCTTTGGTTTGCATATACCTAAGGTCTAGTACTTTACCACGTACTGTCATGTTCGTTTCTCCCAGCAACCTCAGGCGATGGTGAGGTGTCTTGTGCCCATTTTTAATAAATCAGGAAATCAAGTACAGAGCGATTAAGTAATTTGCCTAAAGTCACAAAGCTAACTAGTGGCGTAGCAGGATTGGAACCGGGATCTGAGAACCAGCGCCAGTCCCTCGCCTGTGAGGTGAGTTTACTGGAAGAGACATGATTATAAATTACAAGATAATTGTGTGCAAAATGCAGTAGGAGCCAGAGAAAGGAAAACTACACCTTGGAGAGGGATAGGGAAGGGCATAATTCAAAGAAGGCTTCACAGAAACTTAAAGACAAGAGGTACCTGTGGCCTAGTACCTGCTAGTCTCCACCCCTGGGCTGGCAGGGAGTGCAAATTAACTCTCCCTGTTATCTAGAGGTCATACTTCTGGTTAATTATCAATAAGAGAAAAAAGTCCCACCCTATGTAGGGACAAGAATATCCAGTCCCCTCCTCCAAACATTGCTGGAACCCTTTTCTGGCCCCACAAATCCATCCCTAACTACACTTGACCTTTACCTCTGATTTAGTTAAGGCCAGACTTCAGGCTTCCTTGAACTTAACACAGGCACTCCCCATTACAGCCTCATCCTGTACTCAATAAAGTGTTCTGGAATTCTGGTGCAAGATACCACCTAGAGCTCCAGAACCACCTGTGGCTATCACCACTCTGGCTTGGGCATATGGGAGGCAGTTCCTAGAGAGTGGAACCAAATCCTAAATGTGGACATAGGCCCCTTCCTTAATTCTCCAAAACACAGTTAACACCAGACTGGTTTTTTTTTTTTATTTTTTTAAATGTTTATTTATTTCTTGAGAGAGACAGAGACAGAATGTGAGTAGGTTAGGGGCAGAAAGAGAGGGAGACACAGAATGCGAAGCAGGCCCCAGGCTCCGAGCCATCAGCACAGAGCCCAACGCGGGGCTCGAACCCACGAGCTGTGAGATCATGACCTGAGTCGAAGTCGGACGCTCAACCGACTGAGCCACCCAGGCACCCCAACACCAGACTGTTAATGAAAGTTTGAGAATAGAAAGACTAGAAGTTTTGTGGTTTTTTTTTTTTTTTAAGAAACTTTCATTTCCATCAACCCTATTCCATTTTGTTTGCTGTTGTAGAAAAGCAGCTTAAGACCACTCGGTGTTGTTCCTATCCATTCAGTGGTCTAAGCAGTGGGAGCTGCAGAACAGTCTTCACTGGCAGGCTGAGCACTCCGCTCTTCAGTAGAGGACTGCTGAATAGGCATAGAGGGCACCTGCACACCTTCAGTTCAGTCTGCAACTTCAGGTTGAGTAGCAGTGAACTCAGGAAGCTGCTCTTCCTTTTCAATCTCTTCAAGATCTCTGTAGAAGAAGAGACAGGTAGGACCTGATGGTGCCACAGATGTGCAGAACTTCCCAGGCCAGCATCCACCACATCAGACCCACTGAGTGAGCTCTCTTGTTGTAAGCGATAGCAATGTCTATATAGCACATAGGAGAGTTTGTGTTACATGAGCGATGGTAGGCAGGTTAACATAAGATGCCTCTGTGAGAGGCTAGTGGTCAGCCCTGGGATCTGTAACCACCAGAAGTCTCGGTTCCAGGAAGGCTGCCTGGATCTACTTAGTGAAGTTTCCAGGGGTGAAGCAGCCAGCATCAGGGAGTGGCTCCAGTAGCAGCAGCAAACTTCAGCACAGCTCTCTGGCCAGTATTCCCAGATGATATGACACTGACATCAGCTGGGTTTTCAAGGCTCCAATGGCACAAACTGCCAGCAGAAGCTTCTCTCAGGTTCTCTTCAGATTTATGATGTAGATCCCATCACTTTTCCTTTTGTAGGTGTACTGTTCCATTTGGAAGTCAAGGTTAGTGCCACTTAAGTGGGTTCCTGCTGCAAGGAATTCGAGGACATCCTCCTTCATTTGCAGGCCATCATGGGCTCTGAACATTGTGAACGTTTGCTTTAAGCTATGATGGGAATGTAGAACAAGACCGCTGTGTGGCCCCTCTCTGGGTAATTTGGAAAGCAAAGACCAGAAGATTTAGAAGTGGCTATTATCATCCGTAGTCCATTGCTCATTGCCTCCCAGAAGGACTTTACTCCCCTCAAGGTTATCTCTCCACTCTTTTACAAGCCACCAACAGAAGAGAATTTTCTCTCCACCTCTACTCCAACCTATTTCAGGCTGGACTCCCGGTTAACTTAAAAAATAGTCTACCATGGCATTATTATGCACAGCACTTGAGCTGTGTCCCATGTGTCCATTCCACTATAAAAAATGGCCTTTGCCTTCACTGAACCAAAAAGAACACTGAAGCATTGCAAAGGGATTTTCGGAGACAAAAGAGCAGTCTCTGTTCAAAACATAAATGGGAAAACTGCAAGGTGCTTTAGAATAGCAGCGTATCTCAGGTTTGGGCCACCAAGATTTAAGAAAGATTGACACCAAGTCTCAGGCCACTCCAGTACAACACATTTTTTTTCCTCCCTCACTAATAGCACCTGTGCATACCTAATGCTGAAATGTTAGACCCCCTCTATGAAAAGTGGAGGGCTTTGGAATTACCTCAGTCGAATCTCTGGGCCTCATCAGGAAGCAATAACTCTTGAGTGCAGCAACTGCCAGCCACCGCCTGCACCTGACATTTTGCCACTTGGTGCACTCGCTGTCCTATCATCCCCAGGAGAGGCATGGGCCGATACCCATCCAGTGGTCAAGGAGTGGAACCACGCTTACTCCAAACCCACCACTGTTGCACCCATTCCTGGACTCAGGAACTTTTCACCAGAGGGCTAGAGGAGAAAACCAAAGCCATATGGAGAAATAAGGACATTGAGGTTTGGATAACTTGCACCCGTGTACTGTTGGAGGGGCACATCCTCATTGCTTAAGTTTTCATTAGGCTATCCTAAACGATTGCCCAGTTTTCTGAAAAACAAAATGACAACAAAAACTTTGTTGACAAAAAACAACAAAAAACTTCTCCTCTTCCCTCTTCCCCTCCCCTCCTCCTCCTCCTCTTCCTCTTGCTGAGATCCTCTCCTTCAAGCCTTTCCAGGGTCCATCCCAATTTTCCTCAAAACCTACCTCTCCTCCACAGAGAAATAAAGACCCAGCCCTCCAATTCATTGCTCAGTCTTGAACATTTTCCCTTTACCAGCATTCTCAGAGTATTAAAAGATTTATTGTCAGCTTTGGTTTTGCTGACCCCTGCCCGAACTCTGGTCCATTTGATAGAAGTAGATTGAAGCCCATAGGTGAGATGCTGTTGGTTTGGGCTTAATGTACCTAAAATCCAACATAGCTCATCACCCTAAATATTAATTTCCTTCTGGGGACCAACTCTGGTATTCAGAAAAACGTATCCTCCTAATAATGAGGACTTTGATCTTATTCAGTCTAATAATAACCTTGGCCTTATTATCCCAAAGCAAGTGTAGTTCCTTGTCCTAGATTTTATTAGAAAAGTTGCTCACATTAACTTCAGGTTTGGCCTGCCTTGTGAAGAAGTATCTGAGCCTATTTTCTAATCTATAAAATAGAGTTAATCAAATCTGCCTCTCAGATCTGTGGGCCAGTTAAATGTACTTACGTACGTGAAGGACTGACTTCAGTATCCCACATGGCTAAGTGCTTAATGTTTCTCTTCCCTCTTCTTCCTTCAGTTATCTAATAAGCCATTTACTTTGTCAGTTCCACATCCTACACTTTCCTGCATTCTCCATGGATCCGCCTTTTCTCCTCTCCAAACCCATCAAACATACTATCATTCAAGGCCTGATCACTTCTCAGGCCTTCCCAAAAGCCACCTCCTCTTGTATTCTGTCCCTTTTCTATCTATTTGCAGGGTGATCTCTCTTGTGTTGTCTTTTGTTGTTGTTTTGTTCTCTGCTGTGGCTGTTGTTGCTAAGGAAGGTAAATTTATAGTGTTCTTATTTATTAAGGAAAGTAAATGTATAAATTGAATTTGTGGTTTTCTGTTACCATATCCTAAAAGTGGTTGGGTTGATTTTAATCAAATTCCAGATGTTTGGAGTGATCTGATTTCAACTATGGGTACAAGATTCTCATGACCAGTGCTTGGGAAGCCAGCTAAGTAAACATAAAAACAGAAATCTGGTTCTAATAATAATAATAATATTTTAGATCCAAATAAATCTAAAATATGTGCTACCAGCGTTCCTGAGTCGCTCAGTCAGTTAAGGGTCTGACTTAAACACCAGGTCATGATCTCAATGTGCAGATTGTTTACCATGTCGTTGGCCTCTGTGCTATTAGCTCAGAGCCTGGAGCCTGCTCTGTTGAAAAGAGCAGTCTTTTCATAATATATATTATTATATACATATTTTTTCATAATATATATAATATATATTATTATATTTATATATTATATATAATATATATTATTATATAATAAATAATAAATATTATTATTTAAATAATAATAAAAAATTATCATTTTTTAATAAGAAAATACGTGGTAACAACGGATGTTCAATATTGGCACTACCCCCAAATTTTTTATTTTTTGAAATGAACTTTTAACTAATAAAAGCATTTACCTCTGTCTTGCCAGTGTGCATACAGGCCTTGCTAGAGCCTTCTATTCTTGAAATGCTCTGGGCAGCACTCTGCAAACAAGCAGTTATTGAAAGCGCTGGACTTGCATTTATTTTATTTGATACATTGTTTGTAAGGAAATCATGGTTTCTTTCTTTCTTTTTTTTGACGTTTATTTATTTTTTGAAAGACAGAGACAGAGCGCCAGCAGGAGAGGGGCAGAGAGAGGGAGACACAGACTCCAAAGCAGGCTCCAGGCTCTGAGCTGTCAGCACAGAGCCGGAAGCAGGGCTCCAACCCAGGAACTGTTAGATCATGACCTGAACTGAAGTCAGAAGCTTAACTGACTGAGCCACCCAGGTGCCCCAGGAAGTCATGGTTTCTAAAACAAGGTAGCTCTATTCCGTGAAGAATACTTCTTAGGCCAGAAAAGTAGTATACAGACATTTTCCCTCCTGTTTTGTAATAAACTACAAAAAAAAAAAAGTTAATAAGCTAACCTAAATGTGTTATTCTCTCTATATATTATTTCTTACATTTGTTATATATTATTGTGGCATATATTATTTATTATGTTTATTTGTATTACATGATACTAATATATTAACATACAAAGAAGTGAACAGGAAAAAAAACTTACATTCTTGCTGCCTTGAAGATAAAATCCACTATCTTAAGCATGGCATGCAGAGTGCCTCCTACCCTGGCTTCAAGTTAGTTTATCATTTCCCTATGCATCCATCCAAACTGGCAATCCACACTTCTTTTATAACTCCAAGTTTGTTCCCTCTGCCTGAATTGCTTTTCCTCTACTTTCTTCACCTCACAGGCTCCTACCTAGTCTTTAGAATCCAGCTCAAAAAGGATGTCCTGTGTGAAGCTTTTTCCACGGCCCCTCCCCGTGGGATTCCCAGCAACTTACTGCTTCCTCCTCGGTTCTATGGAAGGTGTATCCGTAACTCTATATCAGTATTACTAGTATCATTAATATGTCTGTCTCCTTGTGAGAAGGAGCCATCCCCTATTGTTTCCTCATTATTTTTCTAAATAGAAGCTTGAGAAATGTTCAATAAATGAAGGAATGAAGACATGAAACAAATACATGGATTAGGGGAAAGTTACCCTGATCTCCTTGTAGAAAATGAATCAAGGAAACATTTATTTCTCCAAACGTGGACAGCTAGTGAGATTGTGGGGTCACTGAAGCAGATGAAAGGACAAAATTCTATGTGATAGTGAGTCATATACCAGCTTAGAGCATTAAACCAGGGTGAGAGAGGACATAGGTCACCTTTCCTGACAGCTGAAGCCAATGAGAGTTCTAAAAACACCTCCCTTCAGTTCATTACACTTCCATACCTGTTTTTCCTGTCCACGCATTTGGAAGCTTGCCTGCCCTCTTTCTAATCTGCTCTCTGTAGTGAGCGATTTCTAGGTTAAGAAGAAGAAAAAAAGCCAATACATAATACTAAATTGGAAATGAGGCAAACTGTGTTATTCTTGAGTTGTGATCATTTTTCGGAATCATCGTATGAAGAAGATTGATGATGATGATGAGAAATAAAGACATGGTTTTCCTCAGGATACCTTTGAGTAAATGTTAACATTCAAATAGTTATGAGTTACCCCATCTTTTGGAACTTTGAAAAACTTTTAGTTACTTTTTAAATGTTCATTTATCTGAGAGAGAGAGATAGAGAGTAAGCAGGGGAGGAGCAGAGAGTAAGAGACACAGAGAATCCCAAGCAGGCTCTGTGATGTCACCAAACCCTGAGATCATGACCTGAACTGAAACCAAGAGTAGGACAGTTAACCAAC